TTTAAAGCCACTTTGATAAAGTAGTCAAAATTAAAGTAATGTGCTCTAAACTTTAACATTAAAAAAAATTAAAGTTAAAGCTGATATTTTCACAGAAATTTCATTTTTGCAAAGAAAGTATTTCATTCATTCAGAAATCATTTTTCCACAAATTTAGTTTTTGATGAAAGCAACAATTTTTTAAGAAAAAAATCTATTGTAACTTTAAAGTAAGGTTAAAGTGCTACACCTAGGTATGAATTCCGAGTTCATGAAGACTGCCAAGAATTGTCTTGTGTCTGTTTTTTGTATTCGATTTCATTCATTTTTGGCATGTTAAAATTGAAGCTACATTCAGAAAAAGAGATATAAATAACGGCAGAACCCAGAATTACTGTTAATACATATAGTCCTCTTTTCTGAGATTTTTCTTCCAAGCTAGTAAAGCATTTAAAAATTAACCATACAGTTGTCTATCTGAATGCATAGTTGAGAAATGTGTTGCTTGAACAAGTCGTGTTATTTGCCATTTAATAAGAAAATACATTAAAAAACTTAAGAAAACAATTTAAAATTGTTTGTTTTATTGTCTATTTCAGAATATTAGGTACGAATAAAACGCCCCTTCTTAGTCTCACTTTGTAATTCTTTCCGTTCAATCGTCATTTTCTCTAATTTTACATTTTATAAAACAAAAAAGATCCTGCTACTTGCACTCTTTTTATCTAAGAAAAATATGATATCATACAATTGTGTATGATTCAAGGGGGAAAAGACTAATCGGAATGGCTGCGAATGGTTGGGAATGGATAGGAATGGATGGGAATGGACAGGAATGAATAGGAATGGGCAGGAATGGACGGGAATGGACACAAATGGATGGGAATAAAGCGGAATGCTTCGTAATACCCGAAAGTATATATTTATAGTTTCACGGGTGAGAAGAATATTTAAATGAATTTTTGAGATGCTCTAAAGTTTGAAAGTCTGTTGAAAATAATCATTTCGAATATCAAAAGCATATTGAATTTTTTCACTCACAGACACTAGCATTTGCTCTTCGGATCAGCAGGATATACTCATACATCATAAGTCTTCACTTTAAAAACCATCTTCGTCTTTTTTCTTTTACTAGTTGATTTTCTATTGGAAACGAATATTCAAATAAAATAGATTCAATAGTGTTGTTGCATATACTAAGACATTTATATCGATTTATTGGAAAAAGTTTATTGGTGAAAAACTTAAATGGAAATTTTCGATTTATTTAATTTACCAGATGATGTCTTGTTGAAATCAAATGAAAGTTTTTATGGTTTTGTTGAACAAGTTACTGGTAAAGTCGAAGCTGATATATTACGTGTACAAGGTATAAGCAATGCACGGTCTCTAATTCGATCAAAAAATTTATTGGATATATTTAAACTTGATTGTGATGAAGTTAGTGCATTAAAACCACTTGCTTGTTTTCAATGCAAGACTGGTGATTTCATTGTTAAGCAAGGTATTCAATTGAATTTAGATAATTTATTTGATGCATTGAAGGAAAAACATGAGAAGTATACAAAGAAGAATAAAAAACATCAACATCAACACGAATCATCATCAATAGATTTAATACCATCAACACCATTAACAAATATTAATAATAACGACAGTTTGACTATACGAACCTCTTCAGTTGGAATAACAATACCGGATTCATCAAATATTTATTCATTTACGACAAGTCAAAGTTCTTATGTATCCAAATATAAAACAATAAATGATCATGCTATTTTTATTAATGATTTAATTGAGAAGTTTTCTCGTAAAACGTTTATTTCAGTTATCTTAAAACAGAATGAACATTACGATTTAATGATTGCGGAAGATGGTCAAGTATTTAAAGCAACAATTAAATGTCAATGTGGATCTAAAATTACGTTGCCGATTCGTTCTCTTACGTCATCAGTTATTTTATCGAATTTTTATTCTCATTTGACAACGTCAAACTGCTCAATGGTCGATCGAATTTTTAAAGAACAAGAAAAAGCAGCAACCAAACAAGTAGAAGCTTCATCGTCTTTAACTTCAGTACCAAAATCACCAATATCTCCTTCGAATGACAATAATTCTGGTTCCGGAAAACAATCCAAAAGAAAACGTCTTTATGATATTTTATCTACAACAATGTCGAGTTCCAAAAAGGAAAAAAAACAAAAAAAAATTGATTAAATAGCAATATGCTATATTTTAGATGAGTGTTTTTTTTAATATTTTTTTTGTAACTCTTTTATGATGTAAATTGAAATCGTAATTTTTTTTTGAATATATCATATTTTTTATCTGATTATATATCCCCCTGGCCAGAAATAGTTAGACTCGGTATTTTGAATAAATTATCACTGTAAGTCAACATTTTGGAGAAAGTAATTATAGATTCTGATAGCCCGTCAAATTCTCTACAAATCTC